AGTTAGGTAGATGACTTGAGATTCATTCTTGTGCTTTTATGATGAATGTTTATGATAGATTTTGGTGTTTTAAAACTTGATATTGTGGCTTGTATGTATATTTCTTGGAATGCTTGAATGTTGGTTGGTTTTGTTGCAAATTTTGGTGGAAAAATTCTGTTTTGAAAACTTCTTGATGGTTGAAACTTTTGAGTGCTGTTAGCCCTTATTTTCAAGAAATTTTGGGGAAATCTTGCTCCACAAACTATGTTGGACATTAAACTTTGATTATGAGTTGGATTTGAACCAAAATTATGAGTTTTAGTGGGAAGGTTGAGTCAAGTGTTGCTGAAAATTTTGTTCCGCAGGAGACTCTGAGCAGTTTTGGAAAATCTATTACATCTTGGTGTAAAAAAATCTAAATTGAGTTCCACTTTTGCGTTTGAAACTAGATTCAGAGTGTATTCTACCGTAAAAATTTCAGAATTTTTCTCAATTTTTATGAATATCTATGATTTTCCAAAATTGACTGAATTTTCACATCTACTCTGTTTTTCTACTTGATGAAGCAGCAACTTGAGACTGGAATTTGACTAATTTATGGATAGAATCTTACAAATATGTATTCTGAAAAATTGTAGTCCTTTGAGTCTATTTTCCAACAGTATAAAGTTTATAAATTTTGAATTCAAGAAACTTGCGATACAATTTTTCAAACAGTATCGCGCAAAACTGGAGAAAATTCTATTTTCTAAACTTGTTCTTGCTTCCATTTCCAACTTTAAGTTGGAGTTGTTAAACCATTTTAAGTTTGGTTTTATGAGTGGAATTGAGGTTTAAATGAAAGGAAATGAGTTTCTTCAAATTATTTTAGGTCGGATAATTTCCAACTTTGTATTTCGAAAGTTTTGTTCTATTTTCTTCAAACGTTTGATTATAATTGATGCTCTTGTGCTCCAAATGACTTTTGCAACGTTGATTTAGTAAGCACATAAGATTTTCTCCTCGATTGCAACAAGAAAATATTATATTTTGATAGGTTTATGGGCATAAAACTTGTAAATTTATGCATTTTCTAAATGAAGTTTTGAAACCTCAATTTCTTCATGTATTTTGGCTTTGTATTGCTAGTTTTTTAATATAGTATATGACCACAAAACTCGAGAGAGTTCAAGAGGACGAATCAGGGTTAAAGTGATTTGATTGGTGAGTATTCCAATGCATGTTATTTGATTATGCATGACTTGAGAAAATGCTATTATTTGCTTAAGAGCTCTCATTTGAATGACATGTGAATAAGTGAATGACTGTTGTGATTTTCTTGTTTTGTTAATTTGCTATGAGCGCATGTTCACATTGCATGAATGCGTGATAAATGTGAAAGAATGTAGGCCGATGTGTACTTTATCGTATCGGCTGAATTGAGCTTAATCCTATGCTGGCACCCTATACGAGACCCGCCATTTGTGAGGTCGAATCAGTTGGACAGCTTTGGGTTCATAACTTACTAATGTTAAGTGCAAAGTTCAAAACTCTTTGCCGAAAGGCCTTGAGTACAGTGTTAAATGTTTAATGTTAAATGAGGGGATTGTTGATTTTTTAGAGGGCATAGGATGAATGTTAAATGAGGGGATTGTTGATCTTTTGGAGGACATAAGGTGGGAGTTCGGAGGTTATAAGGTGGTAAAATGTAGGGGATTGTTTATTGGCAGTTATAAGGCGAATGTTACTTCCTGTGAGCCCCGTATCCATTTAATGTTTAAATTACTATTCATCCTTTTATTTACTTGAACGAATGATTGAATACATACATGAATGTTATTGTTTATCAAGTATTTTACATTGAAAGATTCCTATTACAATTAATTGCTACACTACCAGTTTCTAAAGTTGACTATCGATTTACTTGAACCTATATTACTTGGAAAAATGTGCTTACATGTTAAATTGTGATATTCTCTTATTTTTTCTGTTTACTTGGAATGCTCACTGGACGTAAGCTCATCCCACGTTTTGTTTTCCTTAACAGGATTTGGATCCGAGAGTGCTCAAGAATACTATTGAAATGTTTTTGGAGACTTTAAGTTTTCATTTTAGTAGCAATGACCATAGTGTATATACTTTTGAGTTGTAATTAAGATAGACGCCGAAAGATGAATCTTTTGTATGTGAACCTATGTATTAGCTCTAGGATGTATGTAAATGTTATTTTGGGGTGCAATGAATATTATTTTGGTTAGTTTAAAAATTTCAAATAATTCTTGCTATGGATTGTAGTGAGTTTTGGTGAGAGTTGGGCAGGTGGTCCGCTGAACCCCCTGGTTCGCCTTATGAGAAGGTGGGGCTGTCACAGGGTTAAGATGAAATTATATTTTGCATGACCAGAATACCCCGAGCTAATTCTTGATACAATAATTGTAGCCTAATAAATGACTATTGTTTCAACAATTGCTAATTTTATTTGAGCACAACAATACCATGTATTCGATCTTTTAGCAATAAAAACAGCTAGAATATCTACAAAAAATGTCTAAACAACTCAAAGCGTTCATCTCAACATTAATAGTGCTTATTTAGATGAAGTAAAATTAATGATTGCATTTGGAATGAAGATTATTTGAGGATTTTTTTTATTTGAATGCTTTTCTTCATGTGATTATTGTGGAATGAAATGGTGATTGGAAAAAATAAAAATATAGTGAAAAACGCTTTTAAACAATCTCAAATTTTTTACTGAATAATGTAGAACCTAAACAAAATATAAAACAAGGTATGAATGTGGTATAAAAACACCAATTCATATCTTATTAACTCATAAGAATACTGTGAGAATGTAAGGTAAGCAAAGATTATCAAAGCCAAGTCATTCATAATTTAAAGGAAGAAAGAGAAGCAACAGAAAACTACTATAAAAGTTTTGGGGATTTCTCTAAAATTTGTTAACTCTACAACACAAAATTGTACTTGTTAACTATTTGATATTTCGCCATTTCTTTTTTATTTTTTATATCATGGGATTCAATGTTTTTTTCGAATAAAGTGCTCTACATTTCAACTTTACGTACAACATCATCCAACAACCACTATGTATGGGCATTACTGTTATTTTATTAAAAATTTGGATAGAAAGTTCATTATTAACGTTTCACTAGTCGATGTAGGGAGCCAAATAAATATATTTGAAGTTAAAAAGGCAAAGCATTAAAAGGAGTCAAGTTTAGGGGGTAAACTCCAATTAACTCTATTTACAATTAATAGGCTCAGTAATGGCTGCATTTGTAAGATAGGCCAAGAAGATCATAGAATGAGAAATGAATTAAAAGATGTTGGGTGAGGTCCTAAAATTTTTTTGGAAGGCACTGCAACCTGAATCTCACTTGTAAAAAGTAGCTTAAATAAATCCAATCAAACAAGAGTCCATGTGAAGTCTCACTTGTAAAAAGTTGCTTAAATCAGTGTACTTATAGGTTTGATTGTGACAGGAAGTAAGTACATGTGATGGTTTATATGATTGATTGTTTGTAGGCATTATATATTGCTCAAATTAATATACAAATGGCTAAACCACATAAAATTTTCCTTGGTCAAAACAATTTTATACTTAAAGATAAGAAATCTCCATAATCCTTACAACTGAGAAGTCCACTTGCATATTTGAAGACAAGAACTTAATTAGAATCATGAGCTTAATTACGGTAATTTATCAAAGAAATGAAAAGGCATATAAAGATAAGAAAAAGGCAATAAAACAAATACTGCATCTTGGGTTTTTTTCCTTTTTTGTAAGCATTTTTTCCCTAACCTGGTTGGTGCTTTTTGTAATTTGTTGGGCTATTTCTTTTTGTTTTCCGTGATTTTATGACTTGGGAAAGTGGTAAAAAATTTGAATTGACGACTTTGCCTACTTAAATTGGTCAGTAAAATGTTGAAGGATCAAATTGGCTCAGTAACATCAGTTAAGGGACGACATTATTTCGAATTATAGTGGAGAGACCACATTGGCCTAATAATAAAGTTAAGGGACTATAAAATTAAAGTTGGAGAACCAAAAATGGTTTAGTAAAAATTTTGGAAGACTATTCAGGTCATTTGCCCAAAAATATTTCTCTTCTTATTAATACCCAAAGAAATAATTTATCTATTTATTGATAAACAAACCAAGTGCATTGCATATGCTCCCAAACTAGTAAAGCAAGTATATATATATAAAAAAAAAAAGAAGTACACAAAGATAGAGGCAAATATTTATTGCCGAACAAAATTTTGAAAAACACTTTGATTTAGGTGCTAGTATAAGCATGTTCACTTCCAAGTCTTCAGCACATTGCCCTTTGATCATGGGGCTGGAGAAAGGAGGAAATCAAATAAAGTTACAGCAAATTTTGGAAATGTTGATTTGTGAAGTCCATCATCTCTTTAAAAAAGTAAATAATGGAGTATACCCAATAAATATAAAATGAAAAAATTGAATAAAGGAGCAGATGGGATGCAGCTGAGTTGAGAACCTTTGATATAGGCGGAGACTTGTTTTTCCGCTGTCAAAACGATAACTAGGCCCTGTTGTGTCTATGTTGATCTCATAAAGATTCCCATAAAAGTCTTCGCTCTTCATCCCCCCTCTTTTTGCCAAGTGCCAACTTGCATGAACTTTGGGAGTTACACATATTTTGACATTTTTTGAAAAATGTTTTTGAAAAAACTGTTTGAATAAATTCAAATAAATTGTTTAGTACAAATTATATATTAGTTTGATCAGAATATGCGACAAAAAATGTGTACTAGAGAGACAGAATAGATGGAACAAATATCTATGAGCACACACTTCCATAGTCATGTCAAAGTCGGTCAGAGCCAGAAGCAGGAAGAAAGCAAGCTGTGTTTTCCGAAGATGTCTCTTTTATAAGTTTATTACTAATGTTTTTCTCTTTTTTGGTTGTTTTGTGGGGAAGTTGGTTGAAGATATTACTAACAATTGTCGAGGGCACAATACGCAAGAGAAATAAAGAATCAAGAGACCTGAGTAATTAATATAAATATCAATTCTTTTATTGCTAACAATTGTTGAGGGCACAATACACAAGAAAATTAAAGAAACACCCGAGTAATAAATATAAATATCAATCTCACAAGAAGGCCATGCATCCTCTATACAGGTAATAAATTATAATGAACAACTCTAAAACCCCCTCCATTCTCGCTGACTAATCTCACTATGTCCAAATAAATAAACATTTGAGGCTAGCCACTTGTCCACTTTGAAGGCGCTAGGATGATGATTATGTGTAAGAGGGCCACCAGAGAAGTAGAAGCAAACTGGTCCATGTCAGAAAGTTTTGTGCCTATGCATTTCATGATGAAGACCTTATTGAGGAATGTAATGTCCTTCAAGGATATTTGACGTCTGTATCTTCTTCTCAAGAAGCCTTCCTTTATTCTTTGGTTGAAATGGAAATCTGCAAGATGAAGAAAGAGTTAAGAGGCTTGTGTATATGGATGTTAAGTTTATGATTTGTTTTTGCCAAGGAATAAAATGAATGACCAGTTGAATAGTAATGAACTTACTTTCTTGAAGGTGGAAAGTGGCGGAGCTGTTGGAGCTCAGTAGTGAGTTGGGGGTGGGGGAGAAGCATAAGTGTAGACTGGTGGAGGAGGTGATTTTTCGGGTGGGGGAGGTGAGGTGTAGTGGTATGGAGGTGGTGGAGATTTCTCCGGCGGTGGTGGGGAGATGTAAGGATAAGGTGGTGGTGGAGATTTCTCCGGCGGTGGCGGGGAGATGTAAGGATAGGGTGGTGGTGGAGATTTCTCCGGCGGTGGCGGGGAGATGTAAGGATAAGGTGGTGGTGGAGATTTCTCCGGCGGTGGTGGGGAGATGTAAGGATAGGGTGGTGGTGGAGATTTCTCCGGCGGTGGCGGGGAGATGTAAGGATAGGGTGGTGGTGGAGATTTCTCCGGCGGTGGCGGGGAGATGTAAGGATAGGGTGGTGGTGGAGATTTCTCCGGCGGTGGCGGGGAGATGTAAGGATAGGGCGGTGGTGGAGATTTCTCCGGCGGTGGTGGGGAGATGTAAGGATAGGGTGGTGGTGGAGATTTCTCCGGCGGTGGCGGGGAGATGTAAGGATAGGGTGGTGGTGGAGATTTCTCCGGTGGTGGTGGGGAGATGTAATGATACGGCTTTGGCGGAGGTTTCACCGGTGGTGGTGGTGATGTGTAGTAATAATGCGGTGGAGATACAGTAGGTGGTGGTGGGGAGACGTAATGATACGGCTTTGGCGGAGGTTTCACCGGTGGTGGCGGTGACTTGTATAGGTAAGTTGGTGGTGGAGGTGGTGGTGATTTATAGACATAAGTTGGTGGTGGTGGGGAGACGTAATAATACGGCTTTGGTGGAGGTTTCACTGGTGGTGGCGGTGACTTGTATAGGTAAGTTGGTGGTGGAGGTGGTGGTGATTTATAGACATAAGTTGGTGGCGGAGGAGATATGTAGTGGTAAGGAGCAGGAGTTGGCTTGGGCTTCTCACATTCCTCATAAGGAGTCTTGGGAGCATAAGCAAATGGTTTTGCGTAGAGCACGACTTCATAGTCAGTCTTGGACTTGACTCTGAGTTCAGCACCCGTTTTGCCCCAGTGGAGATTGGTTGGAATGTTGCATTTGGAATCCTTTGGCGCCATGTGCAGCTTAGCCATGCATGCCTTAGCTCCATATTTGCCATAATCAAACCCTTCAAGTGTGATGCTGTACTTTCCATTAATCTTAGTTTTTCCATATGCCACAATCTTCTTGTCACCAACCTTGCACGTAACCTCTACTACAGCTCCTGCACAATGTGTAGACAGAAAATTCAAAACTACAATTATTGGTGGATAGAAATAATTAAAATCATATTCGGGTTTTCGCAATTATGCTCTTCTTGTTTTTTTTTTCTTTTTGGATTACTAAAATGAAAATTAATATTAGTCAGTACCAAATGTTGGACAAACTGATAATCTATTGGAAAAATTTGGGATCTCCAGCTGCCACAAGCACTTAGTCCAACAACTAATTTGTCTTTTTCCAATTTAAAAACTATTCTACTTTTCTAACACATGGCTATTGATTATAACTTCACATATAAAAAATGTCAAGCTTAACGATCTGGACACAGTTTTTATTCAATAAAATGATACTCTAACGTGGATGATTATATTTGGACTACGTAGTCAAAGATGCCATGATTTGTACACAAAAGTTGTCTCCCGTATGACAAAGCAACCTTTTCAATTGGGATCCAGGAATTTATGAGACAAACACACAACAATTAACGGTTGTTTAATTGACTGCTTAATCATGACATAAATTACTAAATATGCATAAATTCAAGAATATGTCATCAAACTTTTTTCTCATTTACGTTAAAGTATTCTTTTTGCTGTTGCAAATAACAAAAGAAAAGCAAAAATTGCTTTCAAAGAATGGACCAACCTTCATTTTCAGAATTACTAACGTAACCCATTTCATTTTCAAGTTTAAGGAACGTTTCTGTACCAAAATCTATTACAATCATCATGGAAGTTGACTTAAAATATGTTGCAATTTAAGGATTGGGATTTTTAATTTTTTTAATTGGATTAAAAAGAAAAAATGATGTCATCTTGCAAGCAGAAAAAATTTCAGCAGATATGGAATGGAGAGGGAAGACGTACCTTTGAGATGTTTCTTGTCATGGGATTTCTTTGGGTAGTCCCAGTCGTAGCATCTGTAGCAGTAAACTTTTCCAACTACCTTAACGAGCATGGGGTGGTGGGGGTGGGGGTGGTAAGGAACTGGTGGTGGTGGAGAAGTGTAGTAGTATGGTGGATGTGGAGGCTTCACTGGTGGTGGTGGAGAATTATAGTAGTATGGCGGATGTGGAGGCTTCACTGGTGGTGGTGGAGAATTATAGTAGTATGGTGGATGTGGAGGCTTCATTGGTGGTGGTGGAGGAGACTTGTATTCATATGGTGCAGGTGAAGGAGAGGGCGGTGGTGGAGAATTATAGTAGTATGGCGGATGTGGAGGCTTCATTGGCGGTGGTGGAGAATTATAGTAGTATGGTGGATGTGGAGGCTTCATTGGTGGTGGTGGAGGAGAAGTGTAGTAGTATGGTGGATGTGGTGGCTTAACTGGTGGTGGTGGAGAATTATAGTAGTATGGCGGATGTGGAGGCTTCATTGGCGGTGGTGGAGAATTATAGTAGTATGGTGGATGTGGAGGCTTCATTGGTGGTGGTGGAGGAGAAGTGTAGTAGTATGGTGGATGTGGTGGCTTAACTGGTGGTGGCGGAGAATTATAGTAGTATGGCGGATGTGGAGGCTTCACTGGTGGTGGTGGAGAATTATAGTAGTATGGTGGATGTGGAGGCTTCATTGGTGGTGGTGGAGGAGACTTGTATTCATATGGTGCAGGTGAAGGAGAGGGCGGTGGTGGAGACTTATATTCATATGGTGGTGGGGGAGGAGACTTGTATTCATACGGTGCAGGTGAAGGTGAGGGTGGTGGTGGAGACTTGTACTCATATGGTGGTGGGGGAGGAGACTTGTACTCATATGGTGCAGGTGAAGGAGAGGGTGGTGGTGGAGACTTGTACTCATATGGTGGTAGTGGAGAGGGTGAAGGTGGAGGAGGAGACTTATATTCATATGGTGGTGGTGGAGGAGACTTGTATTTATATGGTGCAGGTGAAGGAGAGGGTGGTGGTGGAGACTTGTACTCATATGGTGGTGGTGGAGAGGGTGAAGGTGGAGGAGGAGACTTATATTCATATGGTGGTGGTGGAGGAGACTTGTATTTATATGGTGCAGGTGAAGGAGAGGGTGGTGGTGGAGACTTGTACTCATATGGTGGTGGGGGAGGAGACTTGTATTTATATGGTGCAGGTGAAGGAGAGGGTGGTGGTGGAGACTTGTACTCATATGGTGGTGGGGAGGAGACTTATATTCATATGGTGGTGGTGGAGGAGACTTGTATTTATATGGTGCAGGTGAAGGTGAAGGTGGAGGAGGAGACTTATATTCATATGGTGGTGGTGGAGGAGACTTGTATTTATATGGTGCAGGTGAAGGAGAGGGTGGTGGTGGAGACTTGTACTCATATGGTGGTGGTGGAGAGGGTGAAGGTGGAGGAGGAGACTTATATTCATATGGTGGTGGTGGAGGAGACTTGTATTCATATGGTGCAGGTGAAGGAGAGGGTGGTGGAGGAGACTTATATTCATATGGTGGTGGGGGAGGAGACTTGTATTCATACGGTGCAGGTGAAGGTGAGGGTGGTGGTGGAGACTTGTACTCATATGGTGGTGGGGGAGGAGACTTGTACTCATATGGTGGAGGTGAAGGAGAGGGTGGTGGTGGAGACTTGTACTCATATGGTGGTGGGGGAGGAGACTTATATTCATATGGTGGTGGTGGAGGAGACTTGTATTCATATGGTGCAGGTGAAGGAGAGGGTGGTGGTGGAGACTTGTACTCATATGGTGGTGGGGGAGGAGATTTATATTCATATGGTGGTGGGGGAGGAGACTTGTATTCATACGGTGCAGGTGAAGGTGAGGGTGGTGGTGGAGACTTGTACTCATATGGTGGTGGGGGAGGAGACTTGTACTCATATGGTGGTGGTGAAGGAGAGGGTGGTGGTGGAGACTTGTACTCATATGGTGGTGGGGGAGGAGACTTATATTCATATGGTGGAGGTGAAGGTGAGGGTGGTGGTGGAGACTTGTACTCATATGGTGGTGGTGGAGAAGACTTGTGCTCATAAGGGTCTGCTGAGACCACCACTGAAACACCCAAAATGGCCAATGCCACTAGCAACAGACGACCCCTGGCGGGGTCGCCGCCTCGAAGCCTCATTTCTCGCCGGAAAACTCTTCCTGTGCAGCCAATGTTGAAGCCCTGCACCACCTCTGATGATGAAGATGAAGGAACCTGGAGCTGGAGGAGTAGTTAGAATAGTCAGAAGAGCACAAATTTTAGTGCTTTAGTTGAGAGGCTACATCTTTTGCATCCAATGTGTCAATTATTTATACAGCAAAAGAGAAAGAACTAGTCGTTAAAAGAAAGCTGTCAATCAGGGACCATTACAATTTCTTTGTTAGTTTTTTTGTAGTAAATTTTTACAATCAACTCTCCAGCTGGAAGCACCAAATAGTTTGATCACTTAAACTGAGTTTGCCTATTAATTAACTTCACCCTAATTCAGTTTTATTTTTCAGTTCATAGGTTTGCTAAGAACTAGTCACCTGCTACATTGCATAAAATGCCAACGTGCGTGCCGTTGCAGGTACAACATGCATAGAAGTGAGGGAGTAGTTGCACAATTTTAAATAATTCCACTTTCCAACCACAATTAAAAATTTGATTTTTGTGTTGCTGCCATGCACCTTCTCATGATTGATTACTGAGATCAATCATTTCTCCTGGATCTCCCTTGCTCTTTCGTCCTTGCTATCCTTTTTTTCTTAAAAAAAAAAAAACTTATTTTTTAAACTTCAGTCACACCCCACATTTTTGAACATATATATGGTCCGGAATTCATTGTGTGAAGATTAGTCAAAGATGTTTAAGCATTATTAACAGGCCTCGTTTGGCAAGTGAGTGTTTTGAATGTTTGTTTAAAATTTTACTGTAATTTAATGTAAAAATTGTAGAAAAAATTTTTGAAGTGTGTAACTCTTGGGATATTTTGAATTGTATAGTTTAAAATTTTTGAGAAATTTTTTGAGATTACTATAGTTGAAGTTGTTTAAAAACTCATAGCAGACAATTTGGCCAAAAACTGGCTTGTCAAACAAGGCCTAAAGTTAATGACACGAGAAACCTTGACTTAAATGAGCACTAAAAATGCTTAGTTTTGTGTTTAATTTTCTTTTGCAATTTCAGGAATCTACAAGATTACTTGATTGCTCTTTGATCGTTTTTATATCATCCTTCAAAAAGTAAACCGACAGAGAAGTTTCCCTTTCATTACGTAGTTGCCAGATAATGTGTTCCACACCTTTAGCCAAGAGGGAAGAACTGGACTTGGCTCATTATATATATTCTTGGTACAGAATGACTTTTTGGTACCACAATTTCCTCCACGATGACAGATTATCTTCTACTGTTTTTTTTTTTTTTTTGATAAGGGCATGTGATTTCTCCATAATGAGAGAATTGTTTGCGGCCACATTCAGTCAATTTCCTTAGCAGACATTTGGTTGGTGGCTCTGATGAAATGAAAAGGGAAAAAGAGAGCAAAAGGGTAAGTATTACAGCTTCCAACATAAATGTCCCACTTTGTGGAAGTCACCATGAGTACCTCAGAATCATTCAAAGGAAACTTGCAAGAACTGGAAAATATGAGATGATCATAAGACAGAAAAAAGGAAAGTTCCAAGGAAAGGGAAAGAAAGACAAAGGCTGCTTCGTAATTCCTCGAGCTGCATGTCAGGTGAAAAGATGGAAAAAAAATGGAAACAAACAGTAGAGAAGGTTTACCAAAATGGTCTAGTATGTGATCACATGGAGTTGCATATGATTGCCAATGTGAGTAACAAACACATTCATGACTTCACAAATGCATGTGTCCCTCATGTTAAAAAGTCAAAATTTTACGTACATATTATTAGTTAATGAACGACCTAATGAATACACCTCCAATTTTGTTTTGACATTACAATTCACACCAAGAAGAAATGAAGATCCTTGAAAGTCTGGGATCCAATGCAAGTTCCGTATTACATTGGAATAACTCAAGAGAGTAAATGGAACCCAAGAATAAGGCAAAATGCATTATGTATTTATACATAAACAGCTGATTATTTTTCCAAATATATTTACTTACATTATCACTACAATTTTCAATACACCTTTTTATCTCACATACATCACATCACAAAAAATGTTACAGTAAAAATATCTCAAATAACTTACAATCCAAACAAACCCTTTAAAGTTTAAGTACAAAGAGCGACTCAAAATCAGGATATCTATATATAAGCGACGGATACAAGCGTAAGAATTCCTCAAATTAAACAGGTGAGTCGTGATTTTGTTTGTATTTGTCATGTAAGTCGCATGTCGTTTAATGTAAGATTTTCCTTGTACATATATATAACGACTTCTGTTGTTTTCCTTATACGTATGTGTACGGCTTACTTACGTGGGTCTCAGTGACAAAATAGCCTTGATATTAACAAGTAAATAACACCTACGTATATTGCTTTCAGCTTGAGATGTTTAATATCCATGCGAGCGTAGTACAGACTCCTCTGCCTCATTTATTTGCCTTGTGGAAAAACAGGTTTTGAATGACCAGTTAAACACCTAATCCATCTGAAAATTCCAAACGCTCCGTCCAGGCCACTTTCTATCCAAGAATTCTCACAGATTGAAAATGATAGTACCGTGATTAACAACTCTCTCTTTTTTCTTTTCGCTTTTTTCTTTTGAAAAAAGCAACCCTACTCAAAATAACAGTAGTGAGATTCATAACCTTAATTAGACGCTCTACTGCAATCATTTCATAGTTGGAAAATCAAAAGTGTTTCTTTGCACGGCATTGACTGACAGAGAATTATGCATTTAGGACAGAGGGGCATTGATGTGAAACGCGAAGGTCACTTTCACATCCAATAATGTGCACATTATGTTTCTAATCCATTCTTTTTTACTGCACTTTCCTCTTGACTTTTCTTATCACGTAATCTTTTAATTTCTAGTTAGAAAGAAGCAAGTAATTGGTGACGCTCAACAATTATAGTAGTAGTAATTAGTAAATGGCAAGCTTTAGAAGAATGGATCATTGAGGACCAAGAAAAATTGGCTTTGGATTGCTTGGAGATGGAAAGATACTCTTTTGGATCATTTCTATTGCCACATGTAACACGGTATAAAGGGGAATTTGCAAGAAGCAAAGTCATGTTCACCAAACAAACAAACTCTCTATTATGATTTTCGATTATTTGCTTCTTGTCTTTGATTCCAAGACTGGATAAAATCATCATCATCTTTCCTCTGCTTCCCCCGCCCCTCCCCTCCCCCAAAAACCCCCCACCTTTTTTGTTTCCTCTATTATAGCAAATAATTCAAGGTTGGATTTTGGATTTTGAGTACCTTTTATTTCTTGGATTGAACAAAGTTAGGGCTGCAAGCGGGATTGCATATCTGGTCCTTGAGGTACTCCAAGATCATGGCATAATTGTCGTTCCATAACCAAATTCCTAGTGCTTAGTATGTTCGTTTCTATTACACATTTGATATTAAACTAACATGTGTACAACCCTTGTTGAATTCTCATGATTATACCCCCAAAAAAAATTAGTAGTAACATTTCTCTTTCAACAAGAAGTTGTTAAATTTGATTTCTTACATACTTTTCCATCCAAATTCAACGATACGTAGAACATTTATGGGAAAAAAAACATTTAAAAGGGCAAGACCGAGGTGATAAACTTTTATTGAGATAATAATAAAACTTTTATTTTAGTTAGATAACGTAGAAAAGGCATTTATATGTTTATTTCTGTATTCTGTTTTTTTTTTTTTTTTGTGGAGAATGAACCCTTCTTGTCATTCACCAAAGATGAACAATTAAAAGGATTCAGTTTTTTTACTTCGAGATATTAAGTTAATTATCTGCTGGAGATTTGCTATTTGGAATATTCTCATGGTATTCAGAATAAACCAATTTCTTGAGAACAAGACATAAGAGTTACTCATTCTTGTTTTCTAAGGTAGACTCGGATTCACTTGCAAAGAAATTTAAGTGGTAGCATGTTTTGTGATAGATTACTCTTAGGTGGTCATTGGTGGTTATTAAGACCCTTAATCAGGATTAGAGTACTGTCATAATTTTACACCGATTATCACATTCCCTAAGTTTTAATCTGGACATTTTGCACCTTAAATGCTTTATTAAACTGACTTTGGTCCAATAGATGATGGCCTTACGCATAATCAACAATAAAATAACAGCTAATTAGCATCACATTTTTACTTTCCATACTTCCTTGCTTAGCATTATGCACTCCAAATTTTAATTTTTCAGATTTCTTTTTTGGTAGCTTTAAGTGTCTTATTTGTCCACTTTATTTCAATTGTTAAGAACATCTAAGAAATCAATTAATGATATGCACATGAGTATTTGTTACAAGGAATTAAAATTAGCGTTTCACCATGTCAGTAATTTTAAATTTCCATTAGATATTGTTCCTTTGATAGTTGTAAAGCATTAAGATATTAAATATTGAAAAAAGAAATTGCTCAAGAAAATTAGTAAAAACAAATTGTTTGCTTTTAATCTAACTAGTTGTTTATAGTGTGGGCAAAGCTATATGTATGTATATTGCCAAAATAGAAAACTAGTACTCCAATCATCTCCAAATCCATAGATAAAATAGGTGCCTGTCCTTTTCTTATACCTAATAGTTGCTCCGACCGATATAAAATTTTCCATAAAGAAAATTCCAATGCAGAAATAATTTTTAAAAAAAAAATAATTAAAGGCCATTTGCTGAAAATTTATTGGTTGAAAGAAAAGAAAGAAATTCGACTAGATGTAGGAGTAGGGGAGGGAGTACCACTCTAATTGAAAACTATTCATGGGTAGATGTAGGTTTTGCATTTTATAAACTTTCTTTGCCAGAGCTAAATCAAATGTATATCTGTCCATAACTTTGTCTAATTTTGATGCCATTAACGATTGGACTACAGTGAGACAGTTAAATATTTTAAGGCGCAAAAGGTTCAAAACTGATGTTTGGGGAACAATGTGCAAATTAATCAAAAGGTTAATGATGTAAAGTACAATTAATTGCAGGAAACCATGCATACACGCTATTTTCCGTAAGCTTTTCTAAAATCCTTAACTACTCAACTAGGGTGAGTTCCATATAAAAGTTTACTAAAGCTGTGTTTGATAAAGTTGAAGTGTGAAAATTGAAATCTAAATTCTTATTAAGTTACTATTTGTTAAGTACTCTGGATGCATTTGATAAATTTGAAATCTGAAAACTAAAATCTAAAATCTAAAATTTGAAATTTAAATCCATTAAGTTATTAAATTATTAAATACTAAATTTGATATTTGAGTGTATATCACGTTAAGTGATAATTGAATAACGACAGTTTAACTCCTTCAAACCCATAGGGACAATCACAAGAAGGCTGTGATTAATACTTATCACCTATTTTTTGGAACAAGTTTTGCTTAAAAAATTCAATGCCACTTAATTAATTTAGATATTTAATTTTTTATTATTAAATGCATCTGAATCCATTAAATATAAATGCTAATTGGATTATCAAATAGGAACTAAATCTAATATATTTGAATATATATATCATATTAACTAATAAGTGAATAGCTTGTCACTCATTTTTTGGATCAATTTTTATTTGGAAAATTCAATATTACTTAATCAATTCAGATGTTCTATTTTTTATTATCAAATGCATCTAAACATGTTAAAATTTGAACCTATTAAGTTTTAGGTATTGAATTGGATTATCAAACACAGAGCCTAAGTAAAGCGTCCACAAACGGCATTTAAGATGTATTGTGGATATTGACATAAACTTTAAGCTAGATATAATTAGTGCCCAAATTAAAGTATTATTTGAATAATTACTGTAGCACTTTTTGTGATGTGATGTGTGTGAGATAAAAAAGTAGTTGGAAATATAAAAAAGTGGATTAGGAAATATGTTTATGATGTAAGTGAAATATTATTTAGAATAATTTAGCAATCCAAACACACTCAAGTAATTTTTTTTTTGGATTTGCTATCTTTGGGAGTGTTGTTAAAATATTTTACTGTAACAATGTATATGAAAAATTTTTACTGTAGATGTTTTTGGAGAGGTTTTTAGAATATATTTTGGGGCACCTTTTAAAATTAAAATATTTTTAGAATACTTTTTAAAAATTAATTCTAGCACCCACAACCACAACCTTCACCCCCCACCCATCACCGCCACCACACTCTCCGTCCTGCTTTCTCCTCCTCCTCCCTCTTCTCCCTTCCCTCTTCCTCCTCCTCTCTCCCTCTCCCTCTCCCTCTCCCCTCGATCTGGTCGTGGCCAGATCGCAACCAGAATCGCAACCTTCTGGTCATGACCAAAGGCCTCGATCTGGTCAAGAGGGAAGGATTGAGGGATGGCGAGGAAGAGAAGGGGAGGAGGAGGAGGGAGGGGTGGTGGCAGAGGTGGGTGAGGTGATGGGTGAAAAATGTTGTAATATTCATTTTTTTTAATTCTTTTGTGTATATTTATGAATTATTTTTGATATATTACATGGATGAGTTATCTGTTAATATTTCCCAAAAAAAGTATGGATGAGATATTTTTTAAGTTATTATTATCTGTGCATTATTGTACTATTGTATTTGAAAAGCTTATTTTTGAAAAATTGACCAATCCAAACGGAAGCGGTGCAGCCTTGGCAATAGCATATCAATCTAAATTAAAATGACCATAATGTCCTTAAAACAGAAAATGTTCACTATCACCTGGGGAGATTTTGCCATTATGTGAAATATTGCTGGGCAGCACTAAAATTATTACTTCAACACCTAGGAATAAACTCATGCACTATAGTAGCAGCCGGATTGATGTCTTTTGTGCATATCTTCTTTCCCAAAAAAAAAACGATAAACAAAAAGAAAAGTTCTACAAAGTAGTTTTTGGTCATTCAAGGTAGGCCTGTACCATTGTTTTCCGACAGCTATAAAGGCACATATAGGTTGCCCCACCATGGCGGCTACACCGCTTCGGGCCAACTTTTGGTTGTCACAGGTAGACCCGGAAATCTCCTTTACTTGCATAGGATCCATTTCTTTAATCAATTGGCTTTTGCCCAAAATTAAAAACTAGTGTGAAATAGTGGCTTGGATGGAGAAATTTTTAAAAGTATTGTAAATACATATTATAGCCACTTTTTTAATATTCTTAACTATATTTTTTATTTCACATAAGCCATGTCATGAAAAGTGCTATAATAATTATTTTAAATAATTTATTTAGATATCATATTATTTATAAAATTTTATTTACTTGTATCAAAAACACGTTTTTTAATCATATATTAATCTAACATATATCACATCATAAAAACATTACAATAAATATCTCAAATAATATCTCAACTAATCTCTTATCCAAACACGGTATATTTGATTTAAGGCCTATCTAGTTTTTTTTTTTGATATTGTGGGTATCTGAGAGCACCCGACTAATCCCACAGCGCCCAAACAGAGCGAATACGACCGATGTCTAAAAC